TAGTCAAGCGGCAATAGGCAGGGTAGGGAGCGTTATGTATAACGGAAAATCTCGTCATATACGCCGGAGATACAATACCGTTGGACAACTACTCTCTAGTGGTGTTATCACAATTGACTACATAAAGTCAAGAGATAACGTGTCAGATCCACTTACAAAAGACCTATCTAGAGAGGCAGTTGAAAGATCATCAAAGGGAATGGGGTTAAGGTCTAGGACAAGTCATCATGACGGTAACTCTACCTAGCAGACTGGAGATCCAACGAGCTAGGTTCAAAGAGATCAAACAAAGTTATGAATGACGGTTCAACATTGTCAACTAACTCAACCCATTCTCGTGATAAATATAATGTTCAGAAATCGAAGTAAAACATTAAGGCTTTTTGATGAGTCAACAAAGCTTAAAGATTTTTTAATGATTTGCTAAGTCTGGCAGGATATGACCAGATAGTGTGTCTACAAGATTACACGTTTAGAAATCACATATGTGAGTGTGAAGTGTAAGCCGCTTCAAGGGGAATGAAAGTAGAGGCCCATTCTCTAAGCACTCATGAAACCAGGCGGTGTTCATGGCTGAAACGAACACAACCGTGAGAACCATAGATGGTTAAGGATTGATTGTGTGACTTATGTTGTCTAGGTATACAACAAAGCTCGACGGTTCAAAGATATCAAATCTACCGATTGACCGAGTATATCCGATATAAGTTCACTACGGAAAGTTCAAAGGGAAACCTACTTATCCAGATGCAATTAATTCTTGCATGTAAAACACACACGCGTCCGTGCATTCCTTTATTTTATAGCCATTCCCCATTCATGTGGGGGATTGTTGGGATTTTAAGCTTGTGTAGCTTAAAGAGGGTGAATGAGAAATGGAGGGAAAATGAAATATTTGAGTTTCCCTTGGCAAAGAGACATTGTCCTATATCGGAGGAAGAAAAGGCTTTTGATGGGTATATATATAATTGCTCTTCTTCTAGCTCTTAAAGAGTTAAGAAAAAGGCAAGCCTCGCGCCGTCTTCGTCGCTCGCTCGCTCGCTCGGCTCGGCTTCGGCTTCGGATTTCGATTGATTGATTAATCCTTTTGGACAAAATTCCTTTCAATTATTTAATTAATTAATTAAATAATTAACGAAAAATTCAATCCGGAATAAACCATGACCCGCGACCGGTTCGGTCAGGCCCGTTTTCTTTCCCGGATTATTTTAAATACATTTTTCCCGCAATATTTCAAACAACCCTTTTTCCAACAGCCATGGCTGTTTCTGAAAGGTTGCAAACCTTTTCAGAAACAATGCTAGCAACTCTATAAATAGAGTTTGAATCCCAGAATCTTTCCTTACGAAATTTTCTGAGCTTCTTCTTCTTTTTCTTCTGCACAATTAATTCCAGTGTGTTTTACAGCCTTCGAGTGGCTCGCTGTTCACCGGCGTTTTGGTACCAACACTCTGGTGAGTTAAATCGTTCTATCCTGGGAGGATATATTCCACCACCTCGGGTACTTGATGTGACTAATTTCCTTAAGGACACACTGTGTATTCAGTGGGCTCGGTTTATTCCTATACTGTTTTTTGTTTTCAAGAATCTATTTCGTTAAACAAGTATTACTAACTTTCTGTTTTATTTTTCCAGAAAGTTTAATTGTTTATTACACCAATACAGAATTATAACATATAATTGTACACTTGCCCCTCGAATATGCCCGGGAACTGGGCTTCGATTGTTGTATATTGAGCGCGATACAATTTTAGGAGTCATCCAGTATGCAAAGTGAGAATAATATATGATTAAACTTCACTGGTGCAAATTGACAACCTTTGGCATACACTTAGTTGACAACCTTTGGCATACACTTAGTTGAAATAATCCCAGATATATAAGGTGGACACTGCCACACTTCACTGGCTGTTTATTAAGATAGATCATGCACCAGATAAATGACCCAATTACTATTTACCCAGCGATTTTTCATAAGTAGGAGAACTCTTTTTGTCAAAAACGAGTGGATAAAGCATACAACCACAAATAAGAGATGTTTAGTCTAAAACACATTCCTTTCTTTTTTCTTAAATGTTACAAGTAGATTGCTGCATCAATAAACACATAATTGATCATGGCTGAAGTTTAGAATTAATAATGGACAAGAGATTCCACTATAGCACGTAGAAGTATTGACGCATTGAGTTGAAGATAGAAAGCAACTGTACTGTACACAACTGGTTCAACATTGCAAGAAGCAAATGTATTCCTTAAGTACCTCTATGTCCTACACGATGTTTCAGAATGATGAAACAAAAATACAGGATACAAACCAAAGACTTGAACCAAGAATTGTTCAATGACAGTGCAAGGGAAGAAAACAGTAAAATCAACAATTAGGAAAATGGCTAATGGGGTACAATGAAACATGCAAATAAAAAGGCTAAGCTACCGAGGGAAAAGGTCAGATCTTCTTTCATGCTATGAATAATATAGCCAAAGATGCAAATCACCTGCATGTGAAAAATAAGCAAAATCAGTAAAGTTAAAATATTTCACTCAACTAGTGATCAAAATTAAATATGATATTAATTGTATCAATTGAAATTGTGATAATTATTACCTACCAGAAAGCAAATATTACAACGAGGGTTAACCAAGTGATCTTAAAAAGCTTTTCAAGTTTTAGGGCAAAATTCACAAGGCTTCTCCTGGAAACTGTTGTAACATGAACATAGTTTGAACCATGTTTAATCCTATAGGGATTGTTAAGTGTCTCACACAAGTCAATTCTCTTACAGGTGATATCCTCAATTAAAGGTGGATTATAATCTCAACCACAAAATACTTATCCTAGCAAGATGAATCTTCTGCTTTTCCAAAACATCGCAATGTGTTGACAACACAACACAAACGAACAAATGCCATCTCTTTTAACGTATTACTTATGCGTCTTAACATCAGCAAAGAACTCACTTCCTTTCCCTCTTAAGTTTATTCTTATTGTTAACTATAGTAGGCTACAGGAAATAAAGGTCATGATTCATAACTAACCTCCCAACATCAAATATTGTGGTCAAGTTAAGCAATTTGGAGGCAGCATTTACTCATTTATAACTATGTAATTAGTTGTATGTCTTAAATTTTGTCTATTTCTCAGAACTCATAAGTTATCTTAGACCTTTTTTTTTATAGTGGTGATGTCCGAGCCAGCTCGATCATATCTTGACTATTTTGTAGGGTACTTGCTATCTCTAACAGGTAACTCTGCCGCCAATGCAAGCAGATGGAACGAAATCATCAAGCATTCTTTGAACCCTGGTCTACCATGGTTTTCGTCCCACTTCATCGACCACTAGAACATACTTTTGTGTGCTTATAGCCTTATAGTTATATTTGACTTGACTATAATCTATACCATTTGTTTTAATAACAATGGAGTTCGGACTAACTTGTGAGCATCTAGACTATAATCTATGCAAATTATAAAGGATTACCAATAGTGTTTAGGTGTAACTCAATTGGTCAATCACAGAGCCTCTAATAAATTTTCTTTTAAACAATGCAATTTAAGGGACCTTTTACAGAAGTACAAGAACAGTGGTTATATCCTTCTAATTCCAGTTTCCAACTTTATCCCTACTTGTATTTTTGTTATTTCAAATGCATTTTTAAGACTCATCAAAGTTAAACCACACATCATTAATGCGCCCAACCCCAGTGAGTGCTTAGCAAGCCGATTATTAATCACTTAAATGAATTACTTCTCACAGTTGTGACTTGATTTTAAAAAAAAAATATAAGGTTGTGACTTCATAAAACAAGATCAGAGGATTGTAAGTTCACCAACAACCTCCAGATCTGATTTAGTTTCATTGGAAAAACCAACACACATATCATATTTACTCNTTGCAACAATGAAGAGTCATAGCTCAGTGGCAAAGGGTGGTCAAGAGGGCCTCATGGGCGCGGGGTCGATCTTCACTCTCCACAATTTTTGTTGCGTTCCAGATTTTTATTTTTTAAAAAGACAAACAAAATAAACGACGTCGTTAGATCTGTTTGACTTACTTTATAAAATAAAAATATGGAACAAATAATCTTTATAAAACAAAAATTTGGAATAAACAAATCAAAATCCCTAAAAGATCAAAATCGATCCCTCTCAATTTCTCATTCCTCACGCAAACAAAAAGAAAAAATCTAGGTAATTTTGGTCTCCATCTTCTCCTATCTCTTTGACTCTATGCTACAGTAACAGTGCTACTGCAAGTCTGCAAGTGACAAGTGAAGTTCTGGGTTTGGAAGTTCTTGCTGCTCAGTCCTCTCCGCCGGCGCTACTCATCACTCCGACAACACCAGTCTCCATTAATCTAGTCTCCACTCTCCATTGAACTGGTTAGAACTTAGAAACTCGTCTTTCCTTTTCTTTTTTGGCTTCAAAGTTTCAGTTTTGGTATTAATTATTAAAGTTCTATGATTTTTGGTTTGGTACTGTGCCTAAAAAGGGTCTACTCAAGATATTTGAGCACAAATAGAAAGACATGTAAATCCTTGAGTAATAGTAAAAGTTTACTGATTTTGTGTGTCTCCTAATGATTTAGGACTTAGGAATAATATGTTTTAACTACTTTATACATTCAGGGAATTGAAGTTGCAATGAACTTGTTGAAATTTTACAACAAAGTACCAAAAATAAGTTCGGAATCTCAAAATCAATCTAACAGAGAAGAAAATGCCAATCAATCAAATTTTCCCTCGCATTCTTCTCTAAGACAAGAAATTGATACAATTGCTCCACAGTCCGATCCAGCTGAAAGAACTCCAATATTGGAGTATCATCCAAACCATCGCGATGAAATAAGGAGGGCATACATTCAAGGTGGTCCTTGCCAACCTCGATATCATGACTTCCCTCAATCTGATTTTTCTGGATTTAAGGGTCGTTTTAATCCTATATGGTTTGATGATTTTAATTGGTTGGAGTATAGTGTAAGTACTGATGCTGCATATTGTTTACCTTGTTATTTATTTAAGGGCAAAAGTATTCATCAAGGTGGTGGTGATGTTTTTTCGAGTAAAGGGTTTAGGAATTGGAACAGAAAAGAATGTTTTAAGAAACATGTTGGTTTGCCAAATAGTATTCACAATAAAGCAAATAGAAATTGTGATGATCTAATGCGGCAACAACAGTCTATTATTGTTGCATTTGACAAACAGTCTGATCAAATTAAGCATGAATATTGGCTTCGCTTAAACGTTTCAGTTGATGTGGTAAGGATTCTCTTGAATCCAGGATTTGCATTTCGCGGTCATGACGAAAGTGAAACGTCATTGAACAAGGTTAATTTTATTGAAATTCTTTCATGGTATGCGGATAAATATGATAAGATTAAACCCTTTGTGTTGAAACGTGCTCCAAAAAATAATAAGATGACTTCTTCAGATATTCAAAAAGAAATTGTGACCGCATGTAAGATAGAAACTATTAAGGCTATAATAGAGGATCTAAATGGTGACTACTTTCCTTTATTAGTTGATGAGTCTATAGACGTGTCACGCAAAGAGCAAATGGCTATTGTTTTACGGTATGTCGATAAAAAAGGAAGTGTGATGGAGAGGTTTATTGGCATTGTTCATGTTCGAGATACTATTGCTTTTTCTCTAAATAAAGTAATTGTCGATGTACTTGTTCATCATTCTTTAAGTTTATCTTCTATACGTGGACAATGTTATGATGGGGCAAGCAATATGCAAGGTGATATTAAAGGTCTTAAGAAGTTAATTAAACAAGAAAGTAGATCGGCTCATTCTATTCACTGTTTTGCACATCAACTTCAACTAACTCTTGTTGCGGTTTCTAAGAAGTGTGTTCATGTAGGTGAACTTGTATTACTGGTTTCAAATATTTTGAATGTGTTGGAACTTTTAAACTTGTGGATGAATTTCGAGATTTTCAAAACGAAAAACTCCAAGAGGCATTAGATATGGGTGAACTAAAAACAGGTAGAGGCTTGAATCAAGAACTTGGTCTTGTTAGAGCCGGTGATACTCGTTGGGGATCTCACTACAAGTCATTTGGAAACTTTATTCGTATGTTTGGCTCTATTGTTGATGTTCTTGATACTCTTGTTGAAGATGCAGGTACTTTAGATGATAGAGCTAAGGCATCGGGGTATCTTGAAGCTTGTCAAACATATAAGGTTGCTTTCTTGTTGCATTTAATGAAAGATATTTTAGGAATCACTAATGAGCTGAATGTATCCTTACAAAAGAAAGAGCAAAATATTGCAAATGTCATGCTACTTGTTCAAGTAGCAAAGAAAAGATTGCAAACTTTAAGGAGGGATGATGAATGAGATTTGTTTGTTGATAAAGTATCTATATTTTGTATCAAGCATGATATTTTGGTGCCTAATTTTGATGATCTATATGTTAACTCTGGAAGATCACGGCGAAAACCTGCTGATTATACTGTCTTTCATCATTATCGTGTTAATGTGTTTTGTAAAGTTCTTGATTGGCAACTTCAAGAACTTAATGATCGTTTTGACGAAGTGACAACTGATTTGCTTCATGGAGTTGCTTGTTTGAATCCAATTGACTCATTTTCAAGTTTTGATATCATAAAAATAATGAAGATGGCTGAATTGTATCCTGATGACTTTGATGAATTTCGGATGAGTGCTCTTGAGAATCAACTTGCGAGTTACATTATTGATGTTCGTAATTTTGATGAAAGGTTCTCCAATCTAAATGGGATTTCTGATCTTTCAAAAAGATTAGTTAAGACAAAGAAGCATTCGGTTTATCCTCTCGTATTCCTCTTAGTGAAACTTGCGCTGCTTCTGCTTGTTGCCACTGCAACCGTTGAAAGAGCCTTCTCAGCAATGAAGTTTATCAAGAATGACTTGCGGAATCGAATGGATGATGACTTTTTAGGCGGTTGCATAGTGCCTTATGTAGAAAGAGAAGTATTTAGTATTGTTTCTAATGAGTCTATTATAAAAACATTTCAAGAGATGAAGCCTCGTTGAGTACAATTGTAATAAGTAGAATCTCTTTTCGATGCTTCTTATATTAATTTGGATTTATCCAATTGTTTGTACTATTACCCGTATTTTTATAATTTAGCTCGATATCACGTTGTTTGATTTAAATTTTTCGGTGCACCGACTTGTTGAGATTTTTTTTTTTGTTCAAGTTTGAACACCCTTGAAAATTTTGCTAGCTTCACCAACGGGGGGGTGTTCGTTATACAACTTGCACCTCATAGTTCAAAAGAAGTTTAGTTCAGGCTCATCTAGTTGTCACACTCTTCTTTCAGGATACAGGTAGTCTCGGAGCTAGCTTGCGTGCTTCTTGACTATTCTACCGAATACATGCACAAGTACGGTAACACTTATTTCCTCTATCTTTTTGCTTTCCGTATATGAAAGTGCGGAGTAGGTACCAGCAGTCTTAATAATGCGAATATAACATCCATTCTAATCATTGAAGATATCATTATTGTTTTTTGTTATTCTTCAGAAACAATAATGTGAAGCACGCACCTTAACGAGTACATTAAGTGTTGAATTTACACAAACTGGTATACATAACCCACGCAAACAACATGAATAACAAGCTTAAGCAAAATATTGGAACAAACTCTGCACGTATAAAACTTTCCGGGGGGATTTTCATCAAATGCTAAAAGATAGAAGGACTCACATGCAAAAATCACTTGGCAACCATCCTAGCAATGAAATCCTCATACCGGATCTTCCCATCGGATCCAACAACAACTTCTCGGATCCACTCATCAAATTCCGCAGGCTCAAGCTTCTCCCCAATACTCGTTAAAATATGCTTTAGATCCGAAACGACGACGAAACCAGTGCCGTCTTTATCAAGGACCTTGAACGCGTCGCGCAATTGGCGATCAAATGGCTCCGGTTTGAGGTGTTTTGACATGAGGTCTAAAAATCGGTTGAAATCGAACGACGAGGTGAGTTTTTCCTCGGCGATTATTGATTTGAGTTGGGCTTGGGTCGGGTTACCACCGAGTGATCTCATTAGGATCCCTAGCTCCGATGGAGCAATTTTGCCGTCGCCGCTGGTGTCAAAGAGAGTGAATGCCTCCTTCATGGAGGAAATTTGATCGTTGCTCAGATCTTTCACCATTGCTATCTCTTTGCTTTTCTCCTATGTTTCTCTGTCTCTGGATTTTGTCTAACGAAATGGGGATTCAAATTTTGTGGTTATATAAACTTGAAGGGCGTTTAGGCTTTGACATAAAAAATACTGTAGGAGATTTGAAAGAAAATATTTTTTAAGTTGAAAAAAAAAGTATTTGAAAATTGAGATATGTATTTTAAAAAATATTGCAATTTATGAAAGAAAAATATTATTTACTTAAAAATTACTCTTTCAAATTTGAAACTTATGTTCAAAAATTCAGTTAAATGTATAATCAAACACAGATTTGAAAATATTATTGAAAAAAGGAAAAAAATTATGTCCAAACAGCCATGTTGCTACTAAATACTAATAATGCCCATGAAAGTTAAAATGGGCCCATTCTAACTTAGGATGGAATCTCAATATGCATGGAGACTAATAAAGTAGAAAACATGAGTAATCACCATTTTTTCAGTTAAACACTTATATAGTTGTTCAACTGAGAATTTTTATTATAAAATTTTATTTCATGCTTCACACAATTAATTTGTGTAAACTCAAATCTTACACCTTTGGACATTTATGGAATAGGTCTTCATCAACTTTTTCTGCCCTCCAAAGCTGCCGGAATATAAAGGAAAAAATTGAAAAGTATCTCTATTTTACTGACATTCCAATCATTCTACTCGATCATATTTTCTCATAGTAATAGTGTAATGTAATGTAATACCCACATGAACACTCAGAGAAAAAAGAATCTGTTCATGACACATTATAGAAGACACTGCATGTATGATGTCAAAATCGAGACTAAAACCAAAGTATGCCTTACTATTCCTGATTTTTCTTTGCGTTTTTCATGTCTAACTAATGTGTGTTTCCTTTTATGCTTTAATCTATTTTTTCTACATTTTTATGGTCAATCGTTAGGCTTTGGTCTTGTTTGCAATAGAGTTCAAATCAAGATGTGTGCCTAATTACTCACACATCACGTACGTGTTATACTCTTACTTACTGCTAGATCAAAAAGCCTTGGGGGCTTTAATGGCTAATATATATTGTGTTACTAAGGCTGTCTTGAAGGCAGAGGCGGATCCTGAAGATTCCGGGTGCCATATTGCTTTGAACTTTGACTTGATCTCTTTTCAGTTTTGGTTCGGGTTATTCGTCTTTTGGATTTATATAGACAAATCGATCAAATAAAACAATTTAATAATTATGGTGAACAAAGCATAAAACTTCAATAATATAACTAATATCAACAAAAAGTAGTGTTATCCATTTACAGTTGTCTTCGACGAATTTTCATATTCTACAGTTATATTTGACTAAGAGCCCGTTTGGACATAAGAAAAATTTTACTTTTTTTCGAAAATATTTCACTTTTTTCGAAATCAGTATGGCCATAAAATTTTAAATTTTCACTTGAAGATGAATTTTTGATTTTTCGAAAATTTGAAAAACTCTAAAAAGCTATTTTTCAAAATTTTCACTCTAATCATTCACAAAACTTCAAAAACAACCCAAAATTATATTCATGTCCAAACACAACTCTAGTTTTCAAATAACATTTTCACTTACAAAAAAAATTCACTTTTTTCCCGAATTTTACAATTCTTATATCTAAAAGTAAAATACAAAATATCTTTGATCGGCCATTTTCTTCTAAGCAAAGCGTAGAAGGTCATATTGAATCATTTCTTTAAAGGTGACACCTCGAAATTGTCATGTTTACCATATATTATTCAGAAGTCCTAAATGGTAATTCAGTTGAATTTTTAACCTTTGTCTTTTTACAAACTTAAACATGATTATATAGAGTCACAAATTTTCAGAAACAAAAAGATCACCCGCCCGAAAGATTGCTGCTCTTAGCACGCAATTCAATTGTTTTGATCAAAATCTCTCGAAAAATACTCCAAAAAAAAAGATATATAATATTGTATGTGAAATACAATTGACAACAATAATGCATTGGTTCTTAAAGCTACGAAAGAATCTTATAGACCAAACCAGATAAGTAATCATATTAATGGAAGAATGTTGCAACAATCCAACATACGCCTCGTCAAAGTGGGCTCAATCATGAATCAACCACTTTAGCATTAACTCTATTTGACTTATAATAATATGATTATTTGACTTATAATCTATACTATATTAAAAGCACGAATGTCTTTACCAAAATGTCGTTCGTCTTTTTTTCTTTTAAAATATATTTTACATTGGATAAAATTGTAAAATCAAAAAACTTTCCTAATATTTAGGAGTTGTAAATCAAAGAAGTTTTTTCTAATATAATTCGGTGTTTAATATCTTCTTCTAATAAGGATACAAAATATTAAAGACATAACAGAATACAAAAAAAGTAGGAGAATTATTTTTGTTGGTTTCGACTTTCGAACAAGGAAATTTCACGATCTTGTGTAATATTTTTGTTCTTTGTCCTTTTTGTTTAATCACAAAGACCAATTTTGCCTCTTTATTTTCCTTTTATATGATTTATTTGTTGTTTTTTTAAAATTTAAAATCATAAGTATTTTTAGAAGCTTTGTTGTTAAATTCGTCTATTTCTATTTTTAAAATTTACTACAGCATTGTGTTTTAAATAATAATTACTGCTGAAAAAATAAAGGTTATTAATTTATGATGAAAAATTAATTACCATAATTTAATTTATAGAAAAACGTAAATTACCTCAATGCACACTCCTGTTAAATAGATGGAAAATGATTTTTATTTTTTTGGTAAAAAAGAAACTAATATTATTACTAAGAAAGTTTATTACATAATTTAACTTTACAAAACATGAATTAGTTACGAAATTCATCTTGTAGATGATAATTTTTATAGTCAGTTACTAATTAGTCATTGAATAGGATTAGCGATGAATTTATCCATCGCTAATTTTTATTCTTTTTGTAGTTGATTTGTCTATGATACATGGTACCTCGACGATCTTTTTGATACGAAATTAATATAAAAGAACGGGATACATAATAGAACATTAAAGTTTCAAAATTATATTATTTGTTTTCATGCTTAGCTAGGCCATCCGGTACTTTTTGACTGAATAGGCTCAATATTTATTATTTTCAAGAGCTTATATTTTTAAAATTTATATTTTGAAGGACTTATATTTTTATAATTTTATACGCGTCGATAGAGGGTACGTCAAAAAAAATAATATTTAATTATTTTTGTAATATTTAAAATTTTAAAATAAAAATAAAATATAGCTAAGTAAATTGTTTCTTATTTAAATTATACGCAAGATTCCTAACGTATATGATTTTAAAATCACTTAAATTTTATTTTTATAAATTCTTTTCTCATTTGAACACTTTAAAAACAAAGTTTTTCTTAGCTAAAATTACAACTTGCTTATTATTATGTGAACAAATATGTAGGATCTTCTAAAATTTAATACTTAAATATTAATTAATATTTCATCATATATAATTTTTTTATTTGAACAAATTGGAAATAAAAGTTTTATTTCACAGAAATATAAATACATTTCAATATTCAAAATTTGAGATGATTTAAAACTAAAAGTTTCAGAAATAATGTTTATTTATATATACTATTATAGAAGTGTAAAACTCCAATAAAAAATATTTAGCATCGATAAAATATGAGTGAAATCAATCCGAGAAAGGACAATGAATGAAAATAAAGAGCATGTCACATTTTTAAACTTTTAAACTCTTTTATTATAAAAGTAGCGTAACTTCATTCTCTACATGAAATATCTATTTTAGAATCTTGATAAATTGAAATTAAATATTATTTTCCTTACTTTCCAGAAAAGTAAAAAACTAATTGATAAATTACATGATTGTAACTAGCATAAAGGTTTTATACTCTGTTTTATATCAATGAAAAGAGTGCACTCTTAATTCTGTTAAAAAGATCGATTGTCCAAAATTTACAATTAATATTAAAATCTTCATTATTTTCTTATATTCTTTACTTGCCTTTTAAAATTAATAAGAAATTAATTATCTTGTTATATAATAACATTACAAATGTAGCATCTATGAAGAGATGTTAGGTGAATACGACAACATAAGATGTTTATATTTGATATAATAAATTAATAATAATTACCGATACTATATAGCTAATCCAACTAAATTCATCATCTTTGCATGTTTCAAAATATATTGAGTTTAACTATTGTGTCAATGTAAATTAATTTTTATTATTTAAACATATATTGCATTTATTTTAACTGCAATTGCTAATTTTCAACAATTTTTTTCTTGTATACGTTTAATGTACACGTGCAACGCACGTACACTAACACTAGTGATATAGAATAGTAATAAACTTGAATACACATCAAATAAAGACTACAACACGCCATCAAATCTGACAAGTATTAATCAAATTTTGATTCTTCATTTAAAATTGGTAGATAAGAAAATTAAACAACTCCTAAACTATATAGAGTTTAAGAAAAGAATAAACACTAGAAACGCTTCTTCGACTTGGCTTTTTCGATCTCTTCACGTAATTCTTTTTTCCATATCTGTTTTTTCTTGTTGATTTGTTGTTCATCAAATTCTTCACCCATCAGCATTGAAATTTCTCTTTCTGTTTCCAGATCGAAACTCTCTTTTATGTTTTTTCTTTGGCTTTGTAACTTCAACTTGGCTTTTTTTAACTCTTCACATAATTCCTTTTCCCATGTCTGTTTTTTCTTGTTGAATTGTTGTTTATCAAATTCTTCACCCATCGGCAGTGAAATTTTTCTTTCTGTTTCTAGATCCAAAGTCCTTTTTATGTTTTCTCTTTGGCCTTGTAACATCAACTTGGCTTGTTTAATTTCTTCACACAATTCCCTTTTCCATATTTCCTTTTTCTTGAAATTACTCTGCTGGGAGCAAGCCATTGGAGAATGAAAACTTTGGGCAGAGAAAAATATATAGAGAGAATGAGAGAACTGAGGAGCAACTTTGGGCAGAGAAAGAAAAATATACTGTATAGAGAATGAGAGAGTAGTAATACTGATGAGCAACTTAAAGAAGAATATATAGAGAATGAGAGAATACTTGGGCAGAGAAAGAAAAATATATATAGACAATGTTTACCCTAATTGACACGCTTTCCTATTCCTATCATCTATAGGAAAGGAAATTTTGATTCAATGTTTCGGAGATTCCTATTTCGTATAGGAAAGCTGAAGGCAATGACGCGTCGGAAATTTGTTTAACCAAAATTGTTACAATTTTATGTTTAATTTTGTGTCAAATCTCAAGAGATCTTAATTTTCACATGTAAGAAATCCAAAAATTAAATACAAGAATCTTTGCTCAGCCATTTTCTTCTAATCAAAGTATCACTATACCGTCCGTATCCAGAAAATGTCAGCATAAGTATCACTAGAACAAATAATTAAGAAAAAATGGACCTGACAACTCTTCCAATACATAAAGAAGACTTGAACTGGTCAGTCAATTTCCCAAAAAGCTAATCCATCCCATATCTCTGTCTCCTCGCTGTGGTAGACTCACTGCATATAAGAAACATTCACAATCAGTTGGGCTACTGGAACCATGTAGTAAGTAAATGCTTTCTGGGATAGGAAAAAAGAAAAAAAAATACAAATGGCTGGATAAACGACGTCTGTATAGATTTCAGAATAATGTAAGTCTCTCCGTCCCATTTAAGTGCCCTACTGTTAAGATAAAAGCTGAAACTTCGAGAAATTTAAGAAAATGTTGGTAAGTGTAGGGAAATTACATTTGTTTCAAGAGAGTGACATAATTTCGGCACTAGCTCATTAATTAGCAGAGAATCAAGAAAAGCTTATATTGCATTTCAAATATGGCTCTAATAGTCCAAAGCAGTGTTGTGAAGAGCGTAAAGCGAGGAAAAGCAACAACCACCTTTTCGCTTAAAGCGAGAAGCGAAATGCTCGCTATTTTAAAGTGAAGCGGATAACTAAAAGAACAACTACGTAACACATAAGAAAGGCAATAAGAACTAAGAATAAAGGATATAAAAATAAGAGGAACGGCAGTATACCATTCCAGTAAAAAACGGGCAGCATTTCAAACGAAAAAACAGTGCAAGAAAATGAAGAAGGAAGTGGAGAAGAATGAGAAAGAAGAACTGAAGGGAAAAAAGAAATCGCCAGCATTTCACTGCTATTTGGACGCTGAACCAGTGAAAGAAAAAGAAAAAGAAGAAGAAGAAGGAAGAAGAAATCACATACCTAGACCAAACTTGATGATCTTGAAGTTGAAAAGTGTAGAAAACTTGAACCCTGGTCGCCTCTTTCTTTCTCTGTTGTTGCTGGTCGAGATGTTTTAAAAAAAGAACATCTTTTTTAATTAAATAGGCTGGCAGCCCTTTAAAACAGAGAAGCGCACGCTTCTTACGCATCGCTTCGCATCGTTCTTCTCGCTTTTTAATGGGAAGAGAGCGCTTTTGAATACCTGCTACGCTTCAGATAGCAGAAGCGCTCGATGGGTCGCCTCGCTTCGCTTCTCGCTTAAAGCAAGGAAAGTCCAACAGATTATCTTTGAAATGGTGTATGGATCAGGAAGAGAGTCTAGCAGCAATGCAATCCAAAGCTGCTATACAGCATAGCTCATACTGAAAGATACCTAAATTAAAACTTATAGCCTAAATGGGCTACTCCATTTGATTCAACTTAGTTTTGGAATGTAACCTTACTTGGGTCAAATAAGAACAGGTGGTTCAAGAACTACACGACGCCTCAAGGTCATGGAAACTGGAAAGGAGAAAATATAAGTGTCTGGCAGAAGTCGTCGGTAGAACAAGTTGTATAAGAACTAATATCACTTAACCCAAGATGGTGGATACGAAAAGGACTACCTGGACAAGAGCTACATGGTCTAAGGGGAAAAAGGGTTGGTTATAGCATAAGTATGCTGAAATAGTGAAATATTATGTGCCTAAAGTCATATCCAAAGTTTACGAGTAACAACGAAGAGGTTTTAACCCAAGACGCAAATGTATTCCTTAAGTACCCCTATGTTCTACACGATGTTTCAGAATGATGAAACCAAAATACAGGATACAAACCAAAGACTTGAACCAAGAATTGTTCAATGACAGTGCAAGGGAAGAAAACAGTAAAATCAACAATTAGGAAAATGGCTAATGGGGTACAATGAAACATGCAAATAAAAAGGCTAAGCTACCGAGGGAAAAGGTCAGATCTTCTTTCATGCTATGAATAATATAGCCAAAGATGCAAATCACCTGCATGTGAAAAATAAGCAAAATCAGTAAAGTTAAAATATTTCACTCAACTAGTGATCAAAATTAAATATGATATTAATTGTATCAATTGAAATTGTGATAATTATGACCTACCAGAAAGAAAATATTACAACGAGGGTTAACCAAGTGATCTTAATAAGCTTTTCAAGTTTTAGGGCAAAATTCACTAGGCTCCTCCTGGAAACTGTTGTAACTTGAACATAGTTTGAACCATTAATCCTATAGGGATTGTTAAGTGTCTCACACTGGGAGGCAAGTCAATTCTCTTACAGGTGATATCCTCAATTAAAGGTGGATTATAATCTCAACCACAAAATACTTCTTATCCTAGCAAGATGAATCTTCTGCTTTTCCAAAACATCGCAATGCGTTGACAACACAACAGAAACGAACGAATGCCATCTCTTTTAACGTATTACTTATGCGTCTTAACATCAGCAAAGAACTCACTTCCTTTCCCTCTTAAGTTTATTCTTATTGTTAAATATAGTAGGCTACAGGAAATAAAGGTCATGATTCATAACTAACCTCCCAACATCAAATATTGTGGTCAAGTTAAGCAATTTGGAGGCAGCATTTACTAAGTTATAACTATGTAATTAGTTGTATGTCTTACATTTTGTCTATTTCTCAGAACTCATAAGTTATCTTAGACCTTTTTTTATAGTGGTGATGTCCGAGCCAGCTCGATCATATCTTGACTATTCTGTAGGGTACTTGCTATCTCTAACGGGTAACTCTCCCACCAATGCAAGCAGATGGAACGAATTCATCAAGCATTCTTTGAACCCTGGTCTACCATGATTTACGTCTCACTTCATCGACCACTAGAACATACTTTTGTGTGCTTATAGCCTTATAGTTATATTTGACTTGACTATAATCTATACCATTTGTTTTAATAACAATGGAGTTCGGACAAACTTCTATGCAAATTATAAAGGATTACCAATAGTGTTTAGGTGTAACTCAATTGGTCAATCACAGAGCCTCTAATAAATTTTCTTTTAAACAATGCAATTTAAGGGACCTTTTACAGAAGTACAAGAACAGTGGTTATATCCTTCTAATTCCAGTTTCCAACTTTATCCCTACTTGTATTTTTGTTATTTCAAATGCATTTTTTAGACTCGTCAAAGTTAAACAACACATCATTAATGCGCCCAACCCCAGTGAGTGCTTAGCAAGCCGATTATTAATCACTTAAATGAATTACTTCTCATAGTTGTGACTTGATTTTTTTTAAAAAATGATGAGGTTGTGACTTCATAAAACAAGATCAGAGGATTGTAAGTTCACCAACAACCTCCAGCTCTGATTTAGTTTCATTGGAAAAACCAACACACATATCATATTTACTTNAGAGATGTGAATCTCCTCTTCATAATGAAATAAAAACTCTCCAAGCAAGAGCATCTTTGATGATTTTTAAATTTATGGCATATCAAAAGGAAGTTATATCAAAAAACCTTTGAGCCTCTTCAACCTAAACCTGATCAGCTACTATCTTGCAAGACCTATATACATACACCTTCCCTAACTCACCACTAGTTCACTGTGCAATAGGAAACAATTCTATCTTGCTCCAAATCCTAGATAAAGATCTAAAAGGAAATCACTAGTTCCAGAGGAGATGCTGGACAAGAAACAATTCTTTCCATCTTCTAAGAATCTCCACTTCACTGTGCAATAGAAAGGTTGCAGTCTTGATGTTTCCTTAGCATTCACAAGTAACAAATGAACTTGCAAAAATACTATGGAGAACCACGTAACTCACAGGTGAAGCTTCAACATTCACCATATTCCCTCTTTACTTAAAATGCAATTTAAGGGACCTTAAGCGAATCATGAGTAGGTTGCAGTCTTGATGTTTCCTTAGCATTCACAAGTAACAAATGAACTTGCAAAAATACTATGGAGAACCACGCAACTCACATGTGAAGCTTCAACATTCACCATATTCCCTCTTTACTTAAAATGCATAACCTTAAAAGATTCAAGTAGAAGCCATTTAAAGTTATTGTTCTTCTTCTTCTTCTTTTTTTTAAAAATGTGGTTCCCTTAACGTCCGCATACAACATATTGAATTTCAGATGTATTAAGGAGAACATCACTCTAGCTTCATATAACTAAGCCACATGAGTTGCAGGACAACCATGCAGCTCATAGGATGAATCCTCCTCACACGCTAAATTTTCCCTCTTCACTAATATGTAATACTTCAAAAAAACCAAACAGATGCATACTATCTAAAGTTGTTCTCCTAATGGTCATGCACAAGAAAAGAAGCTGCATATGTATTAAGGAGAACGCCATTCTTGCTTCATTTCGCAACATCACATGAGCAGAAGGATAACAATGCAACTCTTAAGATGAAGCTCATCTCTCCATTTTCCAACTTGACTAAAATGAATAACCTCGAGAGATCCAAATTGATGCTTATCATTAAAAGTTAGCAATATTCTCATTCGCTCCAAACGCATAAGAAGGCTATCCCAAAACCACCCACCTATCCACCTCTTTCATTTTAAACAATGTCCAATATTAGAAAGGAATACTTAAGGAATTAACTAATAAGTTTGGCTCCATACTAAAGGAATCAACTACTAACTTTGGCTCCCAAAGATTTTTACGGAGAATATGTTTCAACATGAAATATTAATACTAAATAAGTGGCCATTGACAATCAATCCTATAAGGGGAAAGATGGATATAGGAGAAGAAAAAAAAAGGGGGGAGGGGGGGTTACGTTATACAACTTGCACCTCATAGTTCAAAAGAAGTTTAGTTCAAGCTCATCTAGTTGTCACACTCTTCTTTCAGGATACAAGTAGTCTCAGAGCTAGCTTGTGTGCTTCTTGACTATTCTACCGAATACATGCACAAGTACGGTAACACTTATTTCCCCTATCTTTTTGCTTTCCATATATGAAAGTGCTTAGTAGGTACCAGCAGTCTTAATCATGCAAATATAACATCGATTCTAATCATCGAAGATATCATTATTGTTTTTTATTATTCTGCAGAAACAATAATGTGAAGCATGCACCTTAACGAGTACATTAAGTGTTGAATTTACACCAACTGGTATACATAACCCACGCAAACAACATGAATAAGAAGCTTAAAGAAAATATTGGAACAAACTCTGCAAGTATAAAACTTTCAGGGGGGGTTTCATCAAATGCTAAAAGATAGAAGGACTCAATTTTTGCACTGCAATTTTATTCACGGTGAAGTACGAAGATGAGGTTTTCCAAATATCATAAATAACTTGCAGAATTATTCTCTTTTCTTCATTTCTTTTTAAACAATTTAAGTGTATTTTGAATACTTCCTGTCCATTTCGTTTGAGAGGTTTGAATATTCACCAAATCCATAAATAAGGTCACGGTATCAATTTATTTTGAGAATCATTAAAATTTAGTCTAATTTTAAAGAGATCTTAATTTTCACACGCAAGAAATCTAAAAGTAAAATACAAAATATCTTTGATCAACCATTTTCTTCTCAGCAAAGCGTAGAAGGTCGGTTATATTGAACCATTTCTTTAAAGGTGACACCTCGAAGTTGTCATGTTTACCAAATATTATTCAGATGTCCTAAACGGTAATTCAGTTGAATTTTTAACCTTTGTCATTTTACAAACTTAAACATGATTATATAGAGTCACACATTTTCAGAAACAAAAAGATCACCCGCCTGAACGATTGCTGCTCTTAGTACGCAATTCAAAGAATGTCAGCTCCCCATTGTTTTGATCAAAATCTCCTCAAAAATACTCCAAAAATAAATAAATATAGTATTGTATGTGAAATACAATTGAGAACAATAATGCATTGGTTCTTAAAGCTACGAAAGAATCTTATAGACCAAACCAGATAAGTGATAATGTTAACGGAAGAATGTTGCACCAATCCAACATACGCCTTGTTAAAGTGGGCTCAATCATGAATCAACCACTTCAGCATTAGCTCTATTTGACTTATAATAATATGATTATTTGATTTATAATGATATAGAATAGCAGTAAACTTGAATACACATCAAACAAAGACTACAACACACCATCAAATCTGACAAGTATTAATCAAATTTTGATTCATCATTTAAAATTGGTAGATAAGAAAATTAAACAACTCCTAAACTATACAGAGTTTAAGAAAAGAATAAACACTAGAAACACTTCTTCGACTTGGCTTTTTCGATATCTTCACGTAATTCTTTTTTCCATATCTGTTTTTTCTTGTTAATTTGTTGTTCATCAAATTCTTCACCCATCAACATTGAAATTTCTCTTTCTGTTTCCAGAAAGAAACTCCCTTTTATGTTTTTTCTTTGGCCTTGTAACTTCAACTTGGCTTTTTTTAACTCTTCACACAATTCCTTTTCCCATGTCTGTTTTTTCTTGTTTATTTGTTGTTTATCAAATTCTTCACCCATCGGCAGTGAAATTTCTCTTTCTGTTTCTAGATCCAAAGTCTTTTTTATGTTTACTCTTTGGCCTTGTAACATCAACTTGGCTTGTTTAATTTCTTCACACAATTCCCTTTTCCATATTTCCTTTTTCTTGAAATTACTCTGCTGGGAGCAAGCCATTGGAGAATGAAAACTTTGAGCAGAGAAAAATATATAGAGAGAGAATGAGAGAACTGAGGAGCAACTTTGGGAAGAGAAAGAAAAATATAGGCAGAGAAAGAGAAATATACTGTACAGAGAATGAGAGAGTAGTAATACTGAGGAGCAACTTAAAGAAGAATATATATATAGAGAATGAGAGAATACTGAGGAGCAACTTTGGGCAAAAATATATATAGACAATGCTTTCCCTGGTTGACACGCTTTCCTATTCCTATCATCTATAGGAAAGGAAATTAGTTAAGAAATATTTTTGCACTGCAATATTTTTGAATTTACACAAACTGGTATACATAACCCACGCAAACAACATGAATAACAAGCTTAAAGAAAATATTGGAACAAACTCTGCAAGTATAAAACTTTCAGGGGGGTTTTCATCAAATGCTAAAAGATAGAAGGACTCACATGCAAATATCACTTGGCAACCATCCTAGCAATGAAATCCTCATACCGGATCTTCCCATCGGATCCAACAACAACTTCTCGGATCCACTCATCAAATTCCGCAGGCTCAAGCTTCTCACCAATACTCGTTAAAATATGCTTTAGATCCGAAACGACGACGAAACCAGTGTCGTCTTTATCAAGGACCTTGAACGCGTCGCGCAATTGGCGATCAAATGGCTCCGGTTTGAGGTGTTTTGACATGAGGTCTAAAAATCGGTTGAAATCGAACGGCGAGGTGAGTTTTTCCTCGGCGATTATTGATTTGAGTTGGGCTTGTGTCGGGTTACCACCGAGTGATCTCATTAGGATCCCTAGCTCCGATGGAGCAATTTTGCCGTCGCCGTCGGTGTCAAAGAGAGTGAATGCCTCCTTCATGGAGGATATTTGATCGTTGCTCAGATCTTTCACCATTGCTATTTGCCTTCTCTTTCTCCTATGTTTCTCTGTCTGTGGATTTTGTCTAACGAAATTGGGATTTAAAAATACTTTATGAGATTTGAAAGAAAATATTTTTTAAGTTGAAAAAAAAAAGTATATTTGAAAATTGAGATATGTATTATAAAAAATGAGAAAATTATTATTCACTTAAAAATTACTCTTTCAGATTTGAAACTTATGTTCAAAAATTTAGTTAAATGTATAAGCAAACACAAATTTGAAAATATTATTGAAAAGGGAAAAACAATTATGTCCAAACAGCCATGTTTCTACTAATAATGCCCATGGAAGTTAAAATGGGCCCCATTCTAACTTAGGATGGACTCTCAATATGCATGGAGACTTATAAAGTAGAAACAAGGATAATAAATTCAAGATCGATTGAACTAAATTGAATTAATCAGAAACGGATCGAATCGACTAATTGTACACTCTAATTCAATCTCCTTCACTAGTGGTTGATTTGCTTTAAAATAGTGATACCCATAACTATCAAATCTTGAATTTGCATCTAGCCATATTGCTTTGGACTTTGACTTGATCTCTTTTGAGTTTTGGTTCAGTTATTCGTCTTTTGGGTTTATATAGACAAATCGATCAAATAAAATAATTTAATAATTATGGTGAGCAAAGCATAAAACTTCAACAATATAATTAATATCAACAAAAAATAGTGCTATCCGTTTACAATTGTCTTCGACAAATTTTCATATTCTAGAGTTATGTTTGACTAAGAGCCCGTTTGGACATAAGAAAAATTTTATTTTATTTCGAAATTTTTTTATTTTTTTTTTCGAAATTAGTGTTTGGCCATAAAATTTTAAATTTTCACTTGAAGATGAATTTTGGAATTTTTCAAAAATTTGAAAAACTCCAAAAAGCTAATTTTTAAAATTTTCACTCTAATCACTCACAAAACATCAAAAACAACCCAAAATTATATTCATGTCCAAACACAACTCTAGTTTTCAAATAACATTTTCACTTACAAAAAAAAATTCATTTTTTTTCGGAATTTTACAATTCTTATATCTAAAAGTAAAATACAAAATATCTTTGATCGGCCATTTTCTTTTAAGCAAAGCGTAGAAGGTCGGTTATATTGAACCATTTCTTTAAAGGTGACACCTCGAAGTTGTCATGTTTACCAAATATTATTCAGAAGTCCTAAATGGTAATTCAGTTGAATTTTTAACCTTTGTCTTTTTACAAACTTAAACATGATTATATAGAGTCACAAATTTTCAGAAACAAAAAGATTGCCCGCCTGAAAGATTGCTGCTCTTAGTACGCAATTCAAAGAATGCTAGCTCCCCCTTGTTTTGATCAAAATCTCCTCAAAAATACTCCCAAAAAAAAAAAGAAATATAATATTGTATGTGAAATATAATTGACAACATTAATGCATTGGTTCTTAATGCTACGAAAGAATCTTATAGACCAAACGAGATAAGTGATCATGTTAATGGAAGAATGTTGCACCAATCCAACATACGCCTTGTTAAAGTGGGCTCAATCATGAATCAACCACTTTAGCATTAACTCTATTTGACTTATAATAATATGATTATTTGACTTATAATCTATACTATATTAAAACCACGAAATCAGTTAACGAAATGTCATATAATTCATTGTTTAATATCTTCTCCTAATAAGGATACAAAATATTAAAGAAATATCAGAATACAAAAAAGTAGGAGAATTATTTTTGCTGGTTTCGACTTTCGAACAAGGAAATTTCACGATCTTGTGTAATATTTTTGTTCTTTGTCCTTTTTGTTTAATCACAAAGACCAATTTTGCCTCTTTATTTTCCTTTTATATGATTTATTTGTTGTTTTTTAAAATTTAAAATCATAAGTATTTTTAGAAGCTTTGTTGTTAAATTCGTTTATTTCTATTTTTAAAATTTACTACAGCATTGTGTTTTAAATAATAATTACCTCTGAAAAAATAGAAGTTATTAATTTATGATAAAAAATTAATTACCATAATTTAATTTATAGAAAAACGTAAATTACCTCAATGCACACTCCTGTTAAATAGATGGAAAATGAATTTTATTTTTTTGGTAAACAAAAACTAATATTATTACTAAGAAAGTTTATTACATAATTTAACTTTACAAAATATGAATTAGTTACGAAATTCATCTTGTAGATGATAATTTTTATATTCAGTTACTAATTAGTCATTTAATAGGATTAGCGATGAATTTATCCATCGTTAATTTTTATTCTTTTTGCAGTTGATTTGTCTATGATACCTGGTACCTCGACGATCTTTTTGATACGAAATTAATATAAAAGAACGGGATACATAATAGAATATTAAAGTTTCAAAATTATATTTTGAAGGGCTTATATTTTTATAATTTTATACGCGTCAATAGAGGGCACGTCGAAAAAAATAATATTTAATCATTTTTGTAATATTTAAAATTTTAAAATAAAAATAAAATATAGCTAAGTAAATTGTTTATTATTTAAATTATATGCAAGATTCCTAACGTATATGATTTTAAAATCAATTAAATTTTATTTTTATAAATTCTTTTCTCATTTGAACACTTTAAAAACAAAGTTTTTCTTATCTAAAATTACAACTTGCTGATTGTTATGTGAACAAATATGTAGGATCTTCTAAAATTTAATACTTAAATATTAATTAATATTTCATCATATATAATTTTTTTATTTGAACAAATTGGAAATAAAAGTTTTATTTCACAGAAATATAAATATATTTCAATATTCAAAATTTGAGATGATTTAAAACTAAAAGTTTCAGAAATAATGTTTATTTACGAGCACTCATCCCATCTCTATTCCAACATATTGTATGTTAGCAAGGAAGTGGAAAGAATTGAAGGAGCAGTTACTCATCAGGCCTAGTGTGTCACCTTCGGGTGCACCGATGCTTTTTGTGAAGAAGAAATATAGTTCTTTGAGGACGTGCATTGACTACAGAAAGTTGAACAAGGTTACTATCAATAACAAGTACCCATTTCCGCGTATTGATGACTTATTTGATTAGCTTCAGGGCGCTAGGGTATTCTCGAAGATTGACTTGAGATCGGGGTACCATCAATTGAAGATCGGGGCTTTAGATATTCCGAAGACTGCTTTCTAGACCCGTTATGGCCATTATAAGTTTTTGGTGATCTCGTTTGTGTTGACTAACACACCAACAACTTTCATGCACTTGATGAACAACATATTTTAGCCTTATCTGGATTCCTTTGACATAATTTCCATTGATGATATATTGGTGTATTCTCGCAGCCGGGAGGATCATGAGTATCATTTGAGGATCTGAAGAAGATTAAGGAAGTTCGGAGTTGGCCCAGACCTTCTACTACTACTGAGATCCGGAGTGTCCTTGGGTTGGCTAGGTATTATCACCATTTTGTGGAGGGGTTTTCATCTATAGCAGCCCCATTGACTATATTGACATAGAAGGGTGACCCATTTAGGTGGTATGATGAGTGTGAGGAGAGCTTTCAGAAGTTCAAGACTTCCTTGACCACAACTCTTGTTCACGTCCCCACCCCGAGCTTGTAATGACCTAACCGGTCATTTTAATTTTTAGAATCCCGTTTCCTAAAATAAAACTTTATGTAGGTGCTTGTAATAATTTATGACTTGCGGGGATGGTTGGTTCGGAATTTGAAAGTGTTTGAGGTGAAATCGGAACACTTGGTTCCTTAAGTTGGCCTTAAAGTGCTAAGTTTGACTTCGGTCAACATTTTAAGAAAACAACCTCGGTATAAAATTTTGATGATTCCAACAGCTCCGTATGGTGATTTTGGACTTAGGAGCGTGATCGGAATTTTATTTGGAAGTCCGTAGTGAAATTAGGCTTGAAATGGCTAAAATAGGAATTTAAAGTTTGAAAGTTTGACCGGGGAGTTGACTTTTTGATACCGGAGGCAGAATCCAGTTCCGAAATTTTTTATAGCTCCGTTATATAATTTATGACTTGTGTGTAAAATTTGAGGTCAATCGGAGTTGATTTGATAGGTTCCGACATTGAATGTAGAAGTTGAAAACTCTTAGTTTCATTAAGCTTGAATTGGGGTATGATTCATGGTTTTAGCATTGTTTGATGTGATTTAGAGGTTCGACTAAGTTCGTATGATGTTTTAGGACTTGTTGGTATATTTGGTTGAGGTCCCGAGGGCCTCGGGTGAGTTTCGGATGGTTAACGGATCAAAGGTTGGACTTAAAAAGCTGCTGCAATTTTTTCTTCTGCTGTATATTCTGGGCTGTGATCGAGCCCCAGATCGAACCCATATATCGAGCCCACGATCGAGGCCTGAGTCGAATCCAGGGACGAGGCTCAGTATCGAAGCCATGATCAAAGGCAAGGCTCGAGGGCCAGGGTCAAGACCCAAGATCGAAATTGATCGAAGCCATGACCATGTCCCTGAGATCGAGCTCCCGAGATCGAGCTCCCGAGATCGAGCTCCCAAGAACGAGCTCCCAAGATCGAGCTCCCGAGATCGAGC